CTTGGGGGCATGGGCTCCTTTGTGAGGGATTTTGGGGCAACCCCAGTAGAAGGCGCGGTGCTCACCGTTGCAGTTTGCGCAGCGAGGGGTAGCTTGGGTGATGTCCTTTTTTTGACAGGTTACGGTGGCGTGGTTTGCGCTGCAGAAACCACAGACAAAGGCAGCGCGGCAGTAGGAAGCGGTGTGGTTAAATTTCTGGCAGCGACGGCATTGGGGGATGTCGTTGGACTTGCGCTTATCTTCCACTCGGACGGAAGTGCCCCCGAGTGACCTGAGGTTGTAGGTGGCGCGGGAGTTCGGGTCCGACGCGTCAAGGTACACGGTGACCAAGGACCAGATTCGGTCACCCTTTGTCATGCGGTAGACGCGACGGGCATAGGGTACTTTGTCCTGGATTATGTCCAAGATTTCTGCTTCCGTGTAGCCAATATTAATTCCACGGATGACGACCACCATTTCACGGTCCTCGTGAAGCTGGTGTGTGGTGAACTCGACCTTTTTCTCGTCAAGGTCATGGACGATACGACGGAAGCTGTCGACATCATCGGGGTACACGCGAGTACCCTGGGATATGGTAATAACGCGGCGGACAGGGATTTTCTCCTCGGCGAGGGCTTTGTTGATTTTGGGCTAGAGTCTTTGGTCCAAGATCGTAATAGGAGGCGGGGCCTTTTTTTGGGGTATTAGCAGTCTCCTGCGTTTCTGCGTGCGCTGGGTCCTCGAGGTGACCGTCGAACGCATTTTTCCCTGCTTGGGAGGAGCTTGATGGGGGTTGGGATTTGCGAGACTCTTCAAACTCCATATCGCAGAGTTCGGAATTAGAGAGTGACACGTTGGTCACTAGTTTTTTACGCCTTCTCTTTGCGGCGGGTTTCTTGACGGTCGAATTTGTGGAGGCATTTTCCACTGGCCTAAGGCTGGGCATGGGAGGGGGCTGCTTTGTTTCTGAAGTGGAGGGATTTAGCAGATATAATGGGTCGCGGTTTGCGGGTGACGGAGAGATAAAATCCGGAACTTCTACCGGGGTGTTTTCCGCTGCGCAGGGGGACTTAACATAAATAGCCGCGATAATGTTATCCTTCTCCTCGTTGGATTGGACAAGTTTAGCAATTTGCCGGTTGGATTTTTCCAGCTGGATAGAGTACTCACTCGTAATCTTCTTCAGGTACTCGTTCCGCTGCCGGAGTTCGGCGAGTTCAGCTGCGATTTTGACCAGTGTATCGCCACGGGAGAGCGGGTTGCGTTCCCGCTGGAGGTTGCATCGGTTGACGCAGGGATCTCGGCTACCAAGCTCGAGGGATTGCTGGTCCACCGGCCGGCTATGTGTTGGGGCTGACATTGAGGGGAGCTGTGCACTTATGTCACTTGCACTGGCACTTGCACGATCAATTGCACTGTTAAGCGCTAACATCTTGGAAGATGAGTCCGATTCTTCTAACAGCGCGTCAAAAAAGTTAGTCACACTGACTTGAAATTATGGATTATCCACAGTGCTCATTTTTTGGCTGTGCCCTAGTGAAGGGCTAGTCAGTTGGGCCATCCCCTGAGGGCGGCGTGTACGTGGGTGTAGAATTTAGCAGAAACATAGTCGCGCGGCGCGACTAAGTTGCGTTTACGGAAAGAGAAATAGGTAGCCCTGAAAAGGGCCGTTAAGAGAGAACTCAAGTCTGAGTAAGAGCGATGCGTAACGGACGTGCGCAGAAAGCGTGCGTTCGGTACGAGCGCTCGAGCGAGACTGTAAAAAACTAATTCGCGCGGTGAGTATCCCGTACTCTAATGATCCGTGGTATTGTATGAGTGCATGCACATAGGTAAATGTTCGTCCCAGTGATCATTTTGTTCTACATATGCCTTGATGTATTCTGTAAGAGTATGGTGCATTCTTTCGATGGCGCCGTTCGTTTGTGGGTGGAACGCTGTGCTGCCCATTTTGTCTATTTTATAACCTTGCAAGTTTATCCATACTTTTGTTCATAAAATAAGTGCCTCGGTCCGATAATAAATGTTCCAGCGGCCCAAAGTACGCTATAAACTTATTTGTTATCGCTCTTCCGTTTCTTCGGCTGTTGCTCTCTACACAGGTGCGAGAACTATCAACTTTGTTAGCCAGTCTTGTATAGATAAAATATGTGTATACTGATTCGCTGAGGGCTTAATGATGGGCCCATAGAAGTCTATAAAAATTTTTTCGAACGGTCTACTCGGTGTATTGGTGATGAGCATAGCTTGTTTCGTTTTAATACGGACAAGTTTTTTTGTTTGGCATGATGTGCATCCCAAGATGACTTGTCTTACATCTGGCCGCATGTTTCTCCAGTAGTAGTATTTAGCGATCCTGTTATGTCTTATTCATTCCCCTGTGCCCACCTATTGCCGCTTCGTGGTATTCTCTGATGATTTTAATTCTTTGATCTGCTGGTGGGATTACTAGAGTGTTCGTGTAGAGTACTGCTGCTATAGTCTAATATCTTTGAATCTTTTCTCAAAGTTATCGACAAAGTATCCCCACTGGGTTAGATTGAGAATGGCTAGATCCCTAACAATTCCAATCGTTTTTGTTTCGTTTGCTACTACTACCTCTTTAAGGGCCTTAATACACTTTTTAATGTTTGATTTAAGCGCCGTTTCTTAAAAGTGCTTCTTTACATACATGTGCATAATTTTTATATTCTTCTTGCATTTGTCATTTTTTCTTCTCCTACGCCTCTTTCTTCGTTATTCATACGTGTCGGATTAATACATCCTCTCTCGTGCAGCGCATCTATGACCTCTGTGTTGGGTACCGCCTCTGTTATTGTCATAACTGCTAGATCGTCTAAGTACTTTAATGGGTGACCCTCATAATCCTATTCAGTTTTTGTAATAGGGGTGGATCTTCCCCCTCCTTTGGTGCCCATGGTGGCCTTGGTCTGCATCGCCGTTTTCTTGACCTTCTGTACTCATATCTGAATCTTTTTCACTATCTTCACTGTAATATCGTGTATTTTTTTGTGTTATAACGTTCGAGTTTTCTGAGTTGGTGCCATGGATTTTTATTTTCTTCGAATTACCTTGAATTCTTTTCTTACGACTTGCCCATACTTTAAATATGCGCACCGGTGGTCCGTCGCTATCGGCCGGTTCTTCATTCTCTTGTTCGTCCACCAGCTGATATAGCTCTTGGCGAGGCCGTTCGGGATTCACTTCCCCTTCTTGTAGCCTGGCTCTTTCTTAATGTAGCCTAATTTTCCGTCTGCTGGCCCCTGTGAAATTAATCCTCTTTTCTCTGCAACTTCTCGCACTTCCCACTCGTTTCGATCCTTTAGTGCCTGAGGCGGTGGCGAATTCTTTTCGTAGGGCTCCTCTGACTCAGAGTCCGCATCGCCGTTTTCTCGGCCTTCTGTGCTTATATCTGAACCTTTTCTACTATTTTTGCCGCGAAATCGTTTCTTTTTCCTTATTATGACGTTCGAGTTTTCTGAATCGGTACAATGGACTTTTATTTTCTTCGGCCTACTTACCTTGAATTCTCTTTTTAAGAGTTGCCCGTATTTTAAATGTCTATCGCTATCAGCCAGTTCTTCATTCTCTTGTTCGTCCGCCAGCTGATATAGCTCTTGACGAGGCCTTTCGGGATTCACTTCCCCCTCTTGTAGTACTGGGTTTCGTGATAATGCGTCAGGTGGTCTCATGGTCTGTGTTTACGCCCGGGTAGTATACAACTTCGAACTCATATTTATGGATAAGATAAGCATTTTCTCTTTTTAGTATATCCAGAAATTAAGTACCACAACTTTGGTTTTCGTTCGATATTTTTATTGTAAAAAAATGACAAAGTAGCAGCTGGTTTTGCTTTTGTGCGGGGGTCCATTTTTTTGAAGGTCGATTTTCGGGTAGAATATAAACTCTCATCTTTCCCAAAATGGCACTTCTGCTAGGCATCTCCTCACTTTTATCCAGTCGCGGTGGCGCAATGCGGTTGCAGTTCCGTCGATCTCCGAGATTAAGCAGCATTTGGAACGGTTAGTACTTGGATGATGGGTGACCGTTCAAGTCTCGCCGTTTCGCCTCTGTTTCTCTGACGCTTCGTCTACGTGATCATAGGTGTGACTGTGTTGTCCTTCTTGTTTATACGTATAAACATCTGGTCATAACTCAAAACTCAGGTGCACCGATGGCTAATAAACACTATGCTTGTGTAAAAGAAAGCCATGTCTGAGACTACGGGCAATGATGAATAATCGAAAATTAAGTATTCATAATCCATCCGTTGGTCTAGGTTGCGGCAGGTTTAATAAATTAACTACATGGCACTACCTCAAGGACGTTTATCAAACAGCGTTTTCTGTGCGATCTTCCTGAAATTTCAACAGAATGCTTGTAATAATGTGAGAAAGTCACATGTAAAATTTGAAATCGTTTAACATCACTGTTTTTTAAATGTTGAATGTTGAAAAAGCTTTAATTTAACACTTAACCTTATGGAGGAGTCACATAAAAATGGAATTTATAAGAAAATGCTATGTAGAATTTTTCCAATTTTTTTTTGCATGACTCAATACCATCATACTGGTACTCTCAATTTTTAGAGAGATCGACAAGTTACTTAAGTAATTAAATAAAAAAACAGTGTCAGACGCCTTTACATAGATAAGCAAATGTAACAAATGCATTCAAAACAGTTGCAGGTGCTGCCGCATGCTCGCTCCCTTCTCACTGCATTCTCTACTCAACATTTCCCCTCTAACTGTGATGAACGTCCTTAATTACCACATAACTTGTCGTCAGAATGAAATATGACAAAAATATTATCTCTACAAATCACAAAGGTTTTTCAATTCTTATGCGGGTTGCGGCTGGTTTAGATTTTCGACTATCCTTGGGCCTCAACTCTTCGTCTATGAAATTTGGCGGGAGACTTATTAAAACATTTTTTTTCACTATTTATTTTAACATTTTTTGTCAATATTTATTATCTAAGCTTATAAAAAAAATACATATTTTTAATACTTTTCTTCGAGGATGCTCATACGATTAATTCGTAAAACATAGAATTTTCTTAACTAGAGATTCAAACAGGTGGGAATTTTTGGCTACAAGATTAAGATAGTAAAAGTTAATTTAAATAAGTGTCGACGGCCTATAAAAACACATTCACCAATTTTTTTTTATCACAAATACACTTTACATCTTCAAAATCATATCCATGTATGCTCCAGATAATAGTGAATCTTCTTTGATTTCAAATTTTTGGATAAGAGATTCAGCTATTTTTTGACCTTCTTCAAGTTGTTTTTCACTTTCTAAGACCACCTGAACATACGTTAGAATTATAGTCCGTGAATGTTCTATTAATAAACGTAAGAACGTTTACTCTATTCTACAATATCAGACTTAAAATTTATTAATACCTCAAACTCCATAAAATGTCCCAAATCCTTTACTCGATCAATATGAATACGAGTATTGCCAGACATGTAGAGATGCCTCGTTTTTTCAACTACTCCTAAGACACCATTAGATACACTTAAAACTTGTTTGAGTTCCTTACACTTTTTTGCATCCAAATCAACTTTTGAGTAGCTTGACAATTTTGGTCCTTGAACGTCTGGCCTCTCGTAATAAATCAATTCTCCTGTACCATCCTAATTGATGGAAAACAAATAATTAAAATAATTAGGGGTTTAAAATTTTCAAGTTATAAGAATTTCGAACCTCAAATTCGCGGAGTTTCAGTCTCCCGCCAAGAGCGACTTGATTCCCAGGAACGTGATAGAAAGTGTCGTGTTGTTTGATGACAACCATTGCTGTGTCACTCAATTCTGCTGCCTTGGCCTCGACTGCATCGATGTTGCTTACCTTTGCCTTAATCTCAATGTTTTTCATAGTTGGATATATATTTATTTTGTCTGAAATGCTTTATGACTGCAAAGTGCTATTTTTTGACCTGCACCCTGCACTGACAAGTGAGGATAATAACAACTTAAACCTTAAACTCGCGCTCACGCTCATAGACATATAAAAAATAGACTGCTCGTTCTTGTGTACGGTGTACAGCGCTGAAGCACAAGTAGAAAGAGAAACAATATCGAACGTGTATATCTGTCTCTCTCTCTCTCTCTCATGTTGCCAACGGTGGGGAGGTTGCAGTGTTGCACCAGCTGGCCTTAGTTCAGCTGACCCCCACCTTTGGCAATGTGCAAGAGAGACAGATTAACAGATATCCACGTTCAATGTTGTGGTCACTTGTCACTTGTGCCTCTTTCTACTCGTGCTTCAGCGCCATAGAGGTATAAGAATAGAAGAGAAAAGGGGGCGTGATATGCGACAGCAGAATTCGCTATGTAACGGGGCATCTATCTTTATCTGGCAGTTATGTTATTGGTCAAGTCCTACCCTACATGAGATTGAATCAACTGTAGACTGTAGGTTGTAGGTCCGGCGATTGCGGATTACTATTTAACTATTACACCCAGTATCAGTACTCACCAGTGGTGGGTAGGTAAGTTACCTTCTGTAATTTACTCAGTTTGTTACAAGTAAAGTACTTGTAAATAACCTGGATCAGTTTCTGACATTGAATGTCATTTTGAATCTGACAAGGTGACGAGTCGAAAGTCGAACGGTCCGAGGTCCGTGTCCGACGCTCCGACCTGTTACTTAGCCTCAGTAAGTTAAGAAGTAAGTTCCTAGCCACTGAAAGAAAAAGAAGAAGAAGAAATAAGTTAGAAGTGTAGCGGAGTTTCCCATACACGAATGACACGAAGCAAATTCGGTAAATCTTGTAGCCGTGTTATGGCAAACATGTACTTGATAATTGCAAATAAAAATTTTGTTTAATTTAAATTACAGCCACCGACAGCCATCTCCAACGAAGAAGAAGAAGAAGAAGAAGATGATTACACTTTATGCTTCTAAATTAATTCGTCATAGATTGTAGAGAGTGCACAAATTAAATGTCTTTAAAACCCTAAAATACGCGCCGCGTTTTTTGGGCATGGGGGTGATAAGTGGCTTAACAGTAATCGCGATGCATCTACGTTAATCTATAAAGTGTTTCTTACTGTAATGAAAAGTGCCAGTTGTGAAAATTGTGTCTCATTATGTCTATCCAGAGTCATCGTAAGACATAAGATTAGCTGCACTGGTGGGTCGAACTGTCATCGAGGACAAACACACGCTTGCAATGAAGTGCAACGAAAAGAACATGATCGCGTTTGCGACCTCACCTACGCCAGTTGATCGTGAGGGCTGGTTGAACAAGCGAGGTGAAGTAAACCGTGGCTATCAGAGGCGCTGGTTCGTTCTCAAAGGCAATATTATGTTCTACTTTGAAAGGCGAGGAGACAAAGAGCCGATTGGCATGGTTGTGCTCGAAGGCTGTACCATCGAGCTGGCTGAGGACGAAGAGCAGTTTGGCTTTAAAATAGTTTATCACGGGGTCGGCAACAGAAGCTACCACTTAGCTGCTGAGTCGCAGGTGCGTTTTTTCTATACATATGTGAAGTTGTTTATTGTATTGTTGTCAATGAAAATAGAGATACATTGAAGAGTCTGTTCTCTGATACTTTTTACTGTTAAAAATTATCTGTGTAACTAGCCCTGGTATGTTTTTTTTTTCAACACAGGAGTCGATGGAACAGTGGATGAAAGCCTTGGCTTGTGCAAGTTACGACTACATGAAATTAATGGTAGCTGAGTTGCAGCGACAGTTAGATGCAGTGGAAGAGGAAGCCATAGTGGCACCACCCACAGAAGTGCCAAAACCACCTCCTAGGCAGAGGCACAATCCCTTTAACAGGCCAGAGTCGCATCATAGATCACAAAGTGTCAGGTCAGCACCTGGCCGAACGGAGAACATACCCAGGACTAAAGTGACCTTCAGGGAATTGCACAATATGTATGGTAGAAGAATACTAGCTGACCTCAATAAGTGGAGACACGATAACAGGAACTCAGAGGCACCTCTGATCATTCTTTGACCATAGGATTTACTCAAATCTAAACTTTTGACAACATCTCTCTGAGGTGTTGTTATCATTTAACTGCCCTTATTAATTTAATAAGATGTCCTTATGAAGATTAATTTTTATTTTAGAATTTTAAATTATGCTGTTTATTTTTTTATTTGTCAAAAGAGGCTTGACAGGTCTCTTTTTATCTTAATCATGCTACTCTATTGTGATCTATATATAATCTGTTGATAATTCGAAGTTAGAGTATATCTATACATTTGTACATTGTCTTGCCAAGGTATTATGAATGATTAATTCCCCGTATGGATCTTTGTCAAGTTTATTAGTGTTTTAAAAATCTTTATTAGTACTGTAATTAATGTAACTAATAAATAAATTAACAGCCAGCTGCATTAAAACATAAAGATAATACAGAATTATAAAAAATACATGATTTTGTATTTTTAAATCCAATGCACCTACTTAAACTTTCTTATTTATATTTCATGCTTGTAATTTGTGTACATATGATACAGTTTTTAATTACATAAACCTCAACATAACCAACTATACTCTAATTAACATAAAGCTTTGATTAATAAAAAATAAGTGAATCATGATAAATCATACATCAACTTAAGATTTATTACATAGAAATAAACTCTATTATTTAAGTCAGTTTTTGTGTTTAAATCTTACATTTCTGTACATAAAAATTTTATCTTCTAAATCTGCATTGAAAAATTTTATATCAAAGGAATTTGATGCTATTTATCATCATTTAAATCATCGTGTGTACGTGTAATTACACTTATAAATTTTTATTTAGTACATAACTGTACATTATAACTTTTTTTTTGGCTCATTGCTTAATTTTCTGAGAAATGTACTAAAACGAAAATTTAAAGGGTCAATAAAAATAGGATAAAAAGTCAGTGAAATAAATTTATTTGTAAGTAAATAAAATGTAATGTATTAAAAAAGGGGGTCTCTTGAGTTTAAGCGTTAAAAAATTTACGCTCAAAAAATGCGACTCAATAGAAAATCTTATAAAAGGTAACGCCTGATACTTTGTACGCACTATCAACCTCACCAAGTAAATAAAAGGTAAGTTTTTATAAATGATGCAGAGTTCTAAAAATGCAAACATACAAGCTACATCCAAATGAAAATACCAAAAACTACTTTTTGCCGTTAAAAATACAAAAGCAAGTGTGCACTCACCAATTCAATTAAAGTTGCTTTGTATTAAAAAAAAAAACAAACAAAAAACCAGATGTGTTTACTTAAATTTAAAGACGCTCTTTTTTCTCGCATCACCAGGTAAATGTCTAGCTCCGAGTAAGAGCCGTGCTTTGTCCTCTTCCTGGGGAGTAACTTCTTCTTGCGGTCCTCTTGGTTTTATTTGTAGCTTTTGTTTAATGGCTTGACTAAGAATCACACGCCTAGAATCACTCTTCATAGCCAGCAAGAGATCAAGCCAAGTCCACGTCACATTATGATATTCTAATGTAGGAATCACAAGAGCAATATCTCTCACGTCTTCTAAATTCTTCTCTTTGTTACCCTGAAAAAAAAAAAGAGAAGGATAAACAGTTTGAGCACATATTGGAAAATACGTTTAAATCCTTTAGAAGCAAATGCGCACCTTGTAAGACACGCGAACCGGTACCTCCGGTATTTTTATGTAGATGAATAACTTATTTTTATCAGCGCGTTCTTTCATTTTTTCGACGTCCTCTCTTCTTTCCATTGGTACATAAAACGATGATTCTCTCTGTGGAACAGGTGGTTCTTCTATGCCTTCTGGATCTCTTTCAGGAAAGCAGAATTTCAACATGGTGTTGAAAAACTTTTTTGTCAAACCTAAAATATCATTCATTGATAAATGTTAGTATACAATAGTTATAAAACTATTTAACTAAAATGTACTTCAGCTTACCGATCGTAAGAGGTACCACATTAATTTCAAAGTGTTCTTTGACCGATATTCCAGCCACCGGAGCTTTTTCTCTGCAAAAAACCCTGAGCGCCCTTTGTCGATCTACGGGCATGTTATTTTGTAGCTCTGTAGGTGTGAGTACGTCAGTGTAAACTTGATTAGGCAGCAGATTCGTCATCCGCACGTAACCGAGCTCAAGCAAATGTTCCACCGAGTCGTCGGTTTTGCTGGTCTTAGTGTACAAGAAATTAGTGAGTATCAGATCGGCAATACCCAACTGGCCGTCGGCATCTGTCAGCCTCCATTGAGCGTGCTTGAAACAGATTTCAGCTGCTCTAGCTACGGCTGCAGGTTTGTCCTTCAGAGTTGTCGAGGCCGCAGCGGGCGCCGTGGTTTCTTTGTAGCAGCTCAGCATCACGTCCAGCTCTTCAGCCTTGGCGCTTAGCTTTTCTTTGCATTCGAAAACCCTGTCCTCCAGCCGCTCTATTTCCGATAAAAGCTCAGGACTGGATTCCTCGTTCAAGGCTTTCTGCACAAGATGCGCCTCTTTTTCCAGCCGTCGTAACTTTGCAACCAATCCGCGCACTATGTTCTGACGCTCTTGAATCGGACGCTTTTGATCTTCTTCCGAGTGAAGCTGAAGCTGGAACCTTTTTCAATGATGAAACTGTTAATCGGACGTAGAAAAAAACAAAAAACAAAAAACCAGTGGATAGTGGGTACTTGATGGGTACCCAAGTATGAAGTTATACTTCTATGAAATTATATGGCAGGTAATATAATTATAAATATACCTTCTATGAAACTATTTTTATTGATATATAAAAAAGCTGGAGCTAAAACGTACTTTTTTCTAAGTTAAAAGTAACGGAATTTTTAAAATCGAGAGCGTTCATAGCATAGTGTCACGTACGTGCGCTCCCTCTTTTTGGGGCCTACTACAGATGATTGTAGTGAGAGAGAGAGCAAGGGGATAAGCAGATAAGATGCTGAAGGGAGCTCGCTCTCTGACTGGAACCGGCAAGAACGAAGGTCGTACACACGCGACGCGCTCTTCTCTCGTTTTTGCATAAATAAAGACGTTGATACTAGTTCCTCGACTATTTACTTCGTGCGCACCCCAAGACCATAGAATCCAACGCAACAGTTTTGGTATCAGAAGTGGGTTATTGGTTAATTCTACGCAACAATAGCGGGTAAGGTATTTGGCTTGTGTACAGGAAATTACCGATTCAAATCTCAAGTGATTTTTTTTTTTTATTTTTATTTTTTTATTTAGAGAATTAGTTGAAGAATAAAAAAAGGAGAAATAAAAGTCAATAAAATTTAAAATGTTTGCTGTGCTAAAGCGGCGTGGTGTGGATGGGACTGGTGCGTCATGGGGTGCGGTGGGGGGGGGAGTAAAAATAAAACACTTCCGTCTCATATTTTCTCAAGGTCAAAATTCTGAAATCGTTGATTTACTCTGGCGCATGACGCGTCTATAGAAAGTATAATTTAAAAAACTTTTGAGTCGATGAAACAACAAACAAACCTCATACGCTGCAGTCGTTCGAGGGCCTCTTTGCGCCTCGGTTCGACGTATAACAGCAGATTATTAACGATGTCCAAAATCATGGCGTACTGCAGGGAATTCGTGCACACGTCTAAATCGTGATGCATAAGAGTAAAGGCGTCGGCTGCCGAGAGGTCTTTGCGCTCCCACGGACTGATCTCCTCACCAGGTAGCGGTGGCACATCACCAAGAAAACCTGCATCCTGGCCGTAGCCCACGTAGAAAAACTCGCACTTGCAACGTGATACTATGCGCTGTAGCTGATGCTGCGGCCCACCTCCTCCGCCCACCGTTTGGCTCACTACTCCACCGACACTTTGACCTGATCCCACCAAGGCTGGCACGTCTGGTAAACCGGCAATCACGGTCGAATCCTTTTCCTAAAACAATGGTTTTTCACCGTTAATAGGAATCAACTTTGAAAGAAGATCATGAAAAAAAATCTCAAACAATGTTTGCTTTGACTGGCAATGCGTACTTGAATGTTGTCCAACGTGAGCCACATGATGTTGTCGTTGATGTTGTCGTCGATGTTCGCATTGACAGTGGCGTAGTATTGCATGCACTCTAGTGAGCCGACCCACGTTGTTTTTGACATGAGAGTTCTATCCTTCCAGACCGGGCGGTGAACTCTTTGCAGGATTTCTGCTTTGGCTGCAGACAGTATGACGTAGCCTCGCGTCTCGATACCCTTTAGCAGTACTTGGCTATTTACGAGAGCAACTAGACAACGAAAATTAAACGTAAATATTCCTTGTGATTAACAAGCAGTGACAGATTCACTCGGTAATGTAATGTTAGCTGTAGAGTGCTTGTAAGGAGAAAATAAAAACCTTACTCAGCCAATTTTTATGAAGCACGTCGTCCTGATTGCAGGCAGCGAGTCCCCTCAATTGTTGGCCCCTAGTCTGCACGGACGTGTCATCGCTAAAGACCACGGGCTTGTTTGCTGCCTCTGCAATCAGCCTCTGTAGCATAGCAGCTGCCTCACCTTGCTGGGGCTTGCTCGTCGCAGAGGAAGGCGTCACCACCTGCGCAGGCGTGTTCGGGGCGCTGGCATCGATAGCTGGTCGTGGATTACGATTCTTGTGCGGCGTTGAGCTGCTCTCGCGATGGAAACCCTTGAGCGCTGCCGTAGACAAATTTTTCTTGAGTTGCTGGGTTTTGATGAACGAGTCGAAAAGGGCAAACGCTACGTCACGATTGTTCTTCGTCCAGGCACCCTTAAGGTCGTGCACAACCAAGCGGTGGGTCGGTGTATCCGCGCTCACGCCTGCCACCACTGCTTCCCTGTTTGGACAAAATTTTTACAGAACGTCATTACATGTAGACCACTTGTTATTATTTCAGCTAATGAAATTTCGCACATTATTTTTAAAAACTCAATCCCATGAGTTTTGATTTGTAAAAGTAACATACTGGCAATTTTTTCTTGAAACTTGTACGAGTGCGTGTGTACAAACCTGCCATAGCTGACGCGAGTGACGCTGAGGCAGTAGCACTTCTCGACGGGCTGCCTGAGCGAGGCGCTCTCCTCCTCCTCCTGGAGGGCACTCTTGAGCCAGATCTCGGCGTCGTTGAGCTCGCAGTTCATGTAGGCGATCGACCACTCGGCTCGAGGCCTGTGTATCAGGCCGTCGTCGATCGGATGCAGGCTAAGGCTGTGCTCGGAGCTGCAGGCCACCCGGCCGCCCGTGACCTCGAAGCCACGCTGCATCGCGAAAGACATCCAGTAGCTCACGTGGAAGCGGTGGAACGCCAGGGTCAGACGAATCTTGCGGTAATGACGGCTGAGCTGCTTCTTCCGGGGCCGGATATTTCTGAAGAGCGGGCCCTTGCGGGTGGGACGGGTCGCACCCGACAGGATCAGCTTGAGGTTTTCAAACCAGCGGAGCGTACTGCCGTACAGCAAGGCTGAGGGCGCGTTCGTCAGGGTCGGCGAACCTGCCGTTTTCGTCTCGAGGGACAGACTTACGTTGAGGTTCTGTGCAGTCATAGATAAAACTGATGTTAATAATTGCCATTGTTATCGATGGCAGGGTAGCATCTATTGGAACAGTAACGGCTCGTTTGAGCTAGTATAGATTTTGCTACTAAAGCGAAGTTATATGCAACACAAAATAATGCACGTGTTATAATAATAGACCTGAGAGCGGAAGGCGCGGAAGGAGTCGTGTTGCTGGTTACTCGTGTACTCGGGTAGCTTATCGGGGGCGCACGGTATAGCGACGTGGTGGTCGCGGGGATCCCCCAAACAGAACCAGGCTAGCTTGATGCTTAGCCTGACGTTGGGTAGGTGTAGCAGTCGGCAGTCGTCGTACTTGCTGGCAGTGCGCACGTAAACGTCGAGGTCGCCCTTAACGATGATCTTGCCTAGGGTCCAGTCGAGCTCGAGTCCGCTCCAAGTAAGCTCCATCTCCTCGGTCGTGTTGTAAGGATCGAGCGAGGCATGCAGCAGGACCGTCAGTTGTTTCACGCAGAGCGTCAGCCGGCCGTGCAGCATCAGTCGCAGCTTGTCCCAGAACGGCAGTGGTGGACTGGGATCGCGCGATGGATGAATTATTTTCTCAAAACTCAAGTTGCACTGGGCTATCACCGGCTCCCAGCACGGGCCGAATGCATATCTGAAATTTGCATTTTTTTTTTTTTTTTTTTTTTTTTTTTTTTTTTTTTATTCTCTATGGACGATTTTATTTGATAGACCAATTTCCAAAACATTGGTCTTATTACAGCTGTCATTTTACGTAAAAATTTTAAGCTATTGATGATGAAATAAAAAAAAAAAATCTAATTGAATTGAGCTACCCCTAGTAACAAACACAACCCACCCACGTGAAATCATACGTAATTTACCTGTACTTATTTATATCCCAGTTTAAATCATGGTAATACTTCAACGAAGTCATTCCTCGCTCGATAACAATGTCGTCCCAGGGCGTGCCCACCTCGATTCTCACGGTCCTCCTGGCCCTCGGCTGAGCAAGTGCCTCGGCACCAGCCAGCCTGCCCCAGATACTCAAGCCCTCGACGAGCAAAAGGGGCTGCGGGAAATCTCGAAGCTGGAGCTTCCATTCGAGACACTTGAGGGCTATACCTCTTACCCAGAGCGTGTTGAATTCAAGGTCATCGGGCCAGGGTGACTCGGGATCCATCTCCTTGAGCGAGCGGATCGCGTGCTCCAATCCGTGAATCGACGGATCGGCCAAAGCTATGATCTCCAGGTCGAGCATCGTCCAGGCAAAGAGCCGGGTGCGCGCTGGCCCGGCGCGCTGCATCTGTCTCCAGCGCTGCACGTAAATTTCCGCGTTCTTCTTGTTTAAACTTGCGTAGAGCTCTTCAACCTTGCCCTGGGGTAGCAAAAGGTGCGCCCTGAACAGCTCTTGCACTTTGGTGTCAAGCATCGCCTGGCGCTTCAAGCTCTCCTTGTATTCGTCCTCGAGGAGCTCGTAGTTGTCGCGCAAGCGGACCTCAAATGGATCGTCGCTCACTTCGAAAATCCATTCTTTTATCTAAAACAACCATAGATTTTTACTTTTGTTTCCTATTTCATGACATTGGCAACTGGATCATTAAGTTTTATATGGATTGTGTTGAATAAAATTTTAAATAATAAGAAAGTGTTTTGAAATGAGTCACAAACATGAGCACCCGAAGGGCGCGATTGTTGTATGTTGGAGCCCGAGTCGCGTATGTTTTTCTTTACCAAGGGTGCAAAGTGCAATTTCGTAAAGGAGACTTTTCGAACGAGTTCCGGAAAACTGCTTTTTCGCCCGAGGAAGTACCAGCCTCCCAAAACCACCCGAGGGCGGAAAAAAATATATAAAAAATATTGTACGGCTGGTACTTCCTCGGGCGAAAAAGCAGTTTTCCGGAACTCGTTCGAAAACTCTCCTTTACGAACCTCGTTACGTCCCTCGCCTTCGGCTCGGGCCGCAAACCTCTCGGTTCGCAAATAGAGACTTTTCAAACTCGTAGGAAAACTACTATTCCTCCCTCTCGGGTGCAAAGTGAGGACCCAAAGTGCTTTTCGTGCTTGCGTCATGGGCCTAGAGTGGAACTTTTCTGCCCTAGGGCGCACCGCACTTTTTTACCCTCCGGGCGCGAAGTAATCACAATTTTTTAAGTACAGAAATTAATTTTTTTGTTATGTAAAAAACAGTTAATTAAATAAAAAATAACTAGAGTTTACTATACATATAAAAAAATGTGATATCTAATAAAAGCAACTCGTGGGGTCTGTCTTTTTACTTTTTAAACTGTGGTAAATTTAAATCAGTTTATTTTTAATGTAGCATAATCAGACAATTAAACGAGCTGATTTGCTAACAGACACACAAGTGAAATATAACAGTTTAAGTTATATCAAGCAATATAATTGCATAAAATCAATTATCTAATAAATTTCCAAAAAAAATTTTTTTAGTTTTGATAAAATTGTATTTTGTTAATAGTTTTTGGAAAATGGAAATGTTTTTTTTTTTTTGAGAACAATCATTTCATTTGTTTTGTAGTCGGGGGGCTTCGCCACCCCTCCCATACTCCCCCACCGGGGGCTTCACCCCCTGGACCCCGCACAACCTTTTTTGCGAATCATACATTTGCCACTTCAATTTGAGTGCATGCAACTTTAAATAATGAAAAAACGTCCATTACACCCATTGTTTATAAAGTATACCTCGTATACATATATGTGAATACTACAAGGCGCACAAGCCTTCAATGCGTTCTATTAATTAATTACTTCACAATTTATACCAATTTTTGTCGCACATATTACAAAATTTTTTTACGTAACTTGTGCGGACGTTTTCCCGTACTCATGTGATTGACTCGCACTCAATGTTGGTGCCAGTAACTCATACCGTGTGATCAAACTCGTATCACACACTAGTGTGATCGACTGGCTTTAATTCCCATCAACTTTGACCACTAGTATGCATCAATCATAACTTCCAGTTTTTCTTAATTTAAGTGCAAAAAGAAAATTCTACGTAAAAGTATTAAAATCTCACTTTGCACCCTTAAGAAGAAAAATATTATACGCCACTCGAGCGCAAGCCTTTGCACCCTTATGCGAACTTTGCGCACTTCGACTACTTTGGGTCCTAGGGCGCAAAGTGAGACTTTGCGCTCTAGTGGCGTAATGTACTATTTTTATACGTCCGACATTATTTTTAAAAATCAACATTTTACCAAACTCCCGCGTTCATCCAAATATCATTATGCATGCAAATAACGACACCTCTAGATTTGATTGTTACATACTTTAATGACTAGATCACATGGTAACGGCTTTTCTTTCTTTGAACTAGAAGAATGTAATTCCTTGAGCCATCTCCTGATGCTGAATAATTCATTCTGAATAGCTTCGGCAAACTTGTGTTCATGAGGGAAGCAAGCCTTTGCCAGATCAATGTTCACCATCCAAGTTTCATTCCACTCTACCTCGAACCCTTCGTTATTCTGACGTTCTAGCCTGACGTCTTCGCTATCTGGCACACGGACCAGTTTGAAACCTTCAATCGTAATTATGTCGGCCATATCCAAAGCTACTCGAAGGTAATTGAGTTTCCACTCGCCCTGCGACCATCTCAAGTGATCCGAAGACAATTCCAAGAAATGCCGCGGAGAAATGTCAATTGCTAAGGTTATTTCGTTGGTGCACAGGATATCCAAGTGCCGTTTTACTGTAGCCTTTTCTGTGTTCAGGAAAAAAAAAAAAAAAAAAAAAGGCTAAACTTGTAAATTTGTTACTCCTAAAAAATCAGTGTATAGAAATGAATGATAAGGGTAAAAAAAAAAAAAAAAAAAAAGTTTTAACAATGACATTCTGTTTCATTGGAATAGCATTAAAAATGTAATCAATCACCATTAATAGCAGCTACAATCTTCCTGTCCCACAAGATTGATCGGAAATCTTGCGATTCGATCCACAATTGCAGTAAGCGTAGATGTAAGTTAGGACTCCAAGCTAAATTTGTGTCATCGAGACTGATATTTATCGCAGTAGGAGTGATGGCAGTCTTACATTTTCTAACAGCTAAGAACGGATGACTTAATGCTTGTGCGTGTCCACAAATAATTGGCTCATTCCTATTTAACGTTATAGCACATATGCCCTCGGCTACGCCGACAAATCGCTTGATACTTCGCTCCAAAGTAGCCGAGTCTAAGCGCACCATAATGGCCACTAAGAATAAAAGAAAAAAAATATATCATACTACTCGTTAGTTATTATTTTTTTAAACTTGTAATTCTAAAAATCTAATATACACTCATTTTCTGCAATGAAGAAGAAATTGCAATTCGAGGCTTTTAAATTTAATTGCAGCATCTCGTCGTTAAACCTATTATTATCGCCACTTAATTTTTTATGCTCTTTCCAATACCTAAATAAAATATACGAAAATTAATAAATAATCAACAATTAAGGGACCAAAATAAACAAAAATGTCAATTGATAAAATATTATATTACAGTAATCCACGTTCAAGGAATTTTGCAAGTTCTAAACTCCACTCAGTTCTTAAAGCATTTAGTGCAATTCCAATAGCGTTTTTTCTCGTGGTGGCCAAAAATACACCAATCGACAGAGGATTTCCCCACTGGTGTGTTGATTCAGATGATCCAGCAGAATTGCCACTAAATGCACAACACAGTGATTCCAGAGTCAACTCTGTGTTCCATTCTTCAGCTTGTTCTGTAATTAAATCAAATGTCATTAATCATGATTATATGCTCTGCAAATTTTTAAACAAAATTTGCTTACCAGCCACTCGATCCATTGAAAATTTGACATGAGCGACTGTACAAAAAGTTTCTTCAACTTCAGGTAACTTTATAAACAGTGAAGCTTCGTAGAGTTCAGTAATTGCTTGAATTTTTAGACCAGGAAATTTATTCTTTGGCGACGTGCTAATGTTTGGTTTCAAAATATCTTTAACTCCATAACTTAGCATTGATTCCCAATCTTTGTGATCGTAAGTCATTGAGAGACTGTTTAATTGTGTTGCTACTTTTAAAATATTCTCTTCTAACTGTAAATTTTAGAGATCGATGTTTATAAAACTTTTTAAATCGTATTAATTGTGTACAAAAATTATAAAAAACAACTACTCTCGATTCAATGGAAAGCAAACGCAATGAAAGCACAGGAAGTTTTCCTTTTACTGATATCCCATCTGTATTTAATGCCAAATAAACTTGAGGACCAGCTGGTTGAAATTTTGCATTGATTTGTAAGCTTTTCATTGTGCATTCTAGGCCTGCATGACAACCATCTTCCCTTCCAGCAATTATTGTAGAACTACCACATTTTATGAGCAGATTCTTTGTAACAAAAAAACAATCGACTTGTTAATTACTTGACATTGAGAAAATAGACTAGTAATGACTAACCTTTGGTAAAATTGGGGAAAATCTAGCTAGGACTTCGTCATCACAATTAAATTGTTTTGGTGTTGTGGAATTTAATGCTTGAGGGGATAAAGATTTTCTATCTTTTAAAAATTGTAAGAGGCCAACACCCCCAGAACCTTCAGTCTGTGTGATCCCCACGAATAATTTCTAAAATGTTAATATTTTGGTTACATTAATTTCTTTATCAATTTTTTAGTCAATGCTTTTGTTAATACCTCAAGTGAAAACTCTCCTTGAGCTCTGAGTGTAGCTTCAACAGTGCCAGCAAAGTTAATTTGAGCTAAGCACGCATCAGATGCATGGCGAAGTAATTTCATAACACCGTTGAGGACAGTTGCAGTTCCAAGTAATGTACGAGCTCCATGTACTACACTACCATCAAGACAGAGAGTTTCAGCACTGCCATTTGCCAGCCAGCCGTTGCCAAGTGCCAATAGACTTAAATTTTCAATGTTTATGGCTAAAAACTTTAAACCAGAATATTAATGGAATATACGACATTAGTCGATGAATTAATTATTTAACTTTTTACTTGCACAACTGTTATGATAAACGAAGGGATTTTGGTGTCTCTGAAATCTAGTACTTTGTTTGAGCGATTTTTATGTCTTGTTGACACTGCAGGAACATCAATGTTGACTCGTACACCTCGCAGCATGAGTGACAGTAGTTTGGCAACTTCGCTACTAAACAAACTGCTGCGCATGGTAAACTCTTCAATTTCCTAAAATATGTATTGACATGTATAAGCGTGGTTTAAAGCGTCCAAATAAGTAAGATTTAAAAATAAAATATACCACAGTGAAGCCATTTGTGGAAATTATGATGTCTCGTAGAATGAAATAAGGAAGAGAAATATGACCAACTTGTAAGTTTATTTTACATTTTCTTTCAACAAGCCATGCTAATACTCTTGGTATGATCCTAAAAATTTATTACATCAAAATGCATGACAAAAAATTTTTTTTTTTTCTCTGTATACTTACCAAGTACAAATACAGTACAGAATACTGCAAATCACAATAAATAAAACAAACCCCATCATTTTTAAAAACTGAATTATTAATTTTCTAAAACCGCATGTACTATTACTTGTATGTGAAATAAAAATTTCAAATATTTAAGGAATAGTGCCATCATTTTCAAAGATGTATTTTTTTTTCATAAGTTGCACAATTTTTTATGAAACATAGGGTTAGTAATGATGTTCGTCAAATATATGTATTCGCCTGTTAGGTTTAGGTGTGCCTGGCGACACATAATGGCCAAGTATGGTACTGATACTACTGATATTCGGACCTGAACCCTGAACCTGAAGTTCAGGTCCTGAACTGAACAGCTGACAGCTGCACGTGAGTCCTCTGGTGTGATAAAAAGGAAGCCTGTATCGGTGAAAAGCAACAGCTGATCCAGCTAAATAGCGTGGATGGTGTATGAATTGTTCGATTTGTTATTAATTTTGCGTATTTTTAGGATCAAATTTTGAAAAAAAACTAATTTAAGACCTCAGACTATGAGATTATCAAAAATTTGTGAATCGCTTGATCGTTCCGTGAGTGGTAAATGTGTTTTTAAGTCGGTCGGTCTGATTACCACAATGTCTTTTGTATATCTATATACAGAGTGTTCTCTAGTTCCCCCAGGCACTGAGTCCACTGACAGCAACGACGCACTGGTGGGGAAACTTATGTATAGATATACAAAATACATGGTGGTAATCAGACCGACCGACCGACTTAAAATCGCGCTTGCCACTCACGGAACGATCAAGCGATGCACAAAATCACAAATTTTTGATAATCTCATAGTCTGAGGTCTTAAATTAGTTTCTTTTAAAAATTTGATCCCAAAAATACGCAAAATTAATAACGAATCGGACAATTCATATACCATTCACGCTATTTAGCTGGATCAGCTGAGAAAGCTGTTGCTTTTCACCGATACAGGCTTCTTTTTTATCACACCAGAGGACTCACGTGCAGCTGTTCAGCTCTGAATAAGCGTCAAACATATATTATACTTCTAAAAACATCAGTAAAGCATGCGCAAATTCGTTGTTTTATTTTCTTATTTATAACCTTAAAAATATTAAAATTTTTAAGTGAAAAGTGTATGAGAAATAATGTCAATTTAAGATAAGAAATCGCTATATTTTAATATTAAAATTTAATTTTATTAATATCTCGCCCTGCGACCATCTCAAGTGATCCGAAGACAATTCCAAGAAATGCCGCGGAGAAATGTCAATTGCTAAGGTTATTTCGTTGGTGCACAGAAATAAAAAAAAAAAATCTAATTGAATTGAGCTACCCCTAGTAACAAACACAACCCACCCACGTGAAATCATACGTAATTTACCTGTACTTATTTATATCCCAGTTTAAATCATGGTAATACTTCAACGAAGTCATTCCTCGCTCGATAACAATGTCGTCCCAGGGCGTGCCCACCTCGATTCTCACGGTCCTCCTGGCCCTCGGCTGAGCAAGTGCCTCGGCACCAGCCAGCCTGCCCCAGATACTCAAGCCCTCGACGAGCAAAAGGGGCTGCGGGAAATCTCGAAGCTGGAGCTTCCATTCGAGACACTTGAGGGCTATACCTCTTANAATTAATTTTATATAATAATTTTGTGTGATTAGTATTTTTTACATTTGAGTTAATTAAATGTTTAAAAAAAAAAACTTATTTTAATTAGTTGAGTATTAAGCATGTTTAAAAAGCGCGAATTAAACATGTTTCACGTCATGTTTTCACAATAATATTGCATAGTAGTTTGACACTGATTCCGCTTAGGCCGCAGTCACATGGAGCGCAATAGAGCGTGCAGAATTAAGTGACTGTGTTCAATCTATTGCGCTGCAGGATAGACCTATTGGTCTGCGCAATAGACTTAAGGACGTTCGGTAGTGATTGAATTTTCCAACGAATTTTTCTGAAATTTTGACCAGACGTTTTTATTGTTGTTACAATAAACCAGTCAAAATTTAAAGAGGTTCCTCTGTTTCGTTTTCGAGATATTGAATTTCAAAGTTAAGTCATTTTAACACTGTCGCTTATGGGAGAACTGACTAAATCACAGTTTTAAGCAAATTGGGCCAGTGAATTTGGCCAATTTTTTTATATGTTACAGATAATGTTATTAATTTGATGTATACCAAGTTTTGCGACGATCGTCTGATTCGTTTATAAATAAAAAATTAAATAAAAGCTCGACCGAAACGCAACGGCAACGTCGCAAGTGGCGGGAAATTCAAAATGTTCCAGGATGTTGATCAGTAAATATCTCAATATTATTGTAGATATTTATGCATTCACGCATAAAATACAAGCTTACGTGTGTGCGTGAGTGTATGTACAGAACGCCCACCCCTTCCCATAAAAAACAATAAATGTTAATAACACGCTATTTTTTTTTTTTAATTTCAAATTTATTATTTCTTCTTAAGATACAATTTTTTTGCACATTACAAAATCACATGCTCATAGTTTGAATCACTCATCTTAGAAATCATCCTACTTATCTGACATCCCATGCTGTATGAGACTTGTCAAGTCATTTAAAAATTCAAGTATTTTATTTACACTGGTAGCTCTTTTGATTAAAGGGCTTTGCCCATTTATTAGAAACGATCTTAAACCATCATTACCTTCCATAAATTTATCAACAATAATATTAAAATCTACTTTATTTTGACTTAGATTTTTAATCACTGTTTTGGGAATGATAGACGAAATGGGGGAAAAAGTTGGCAAAAAATACTTACAGCTTTATCACAAAAACATTGATACACGAACGCTGTCGTAACCGACGCAGCACGCAGCAGACGAGCAGACAGTGTAGAGTGTGCAGAGACACCTGATGCGTGTACATGAACACTCACACATTTAAGACCCGTACGACGTTGCCAAATCTTCATTCATCGCTGGTTTCCCCTCACCGCGCAAATGTTTCCCCCCGCTAACACTACCGAACGTCCTTAACACAGTCGCTTATGGAGACAATTCTATCCTGCACGGTGCACGCTCTATTGCGCTCCATGTGACTGCAACCTTATTCTTATTTCCACTGCTATTGCTATTCCCCTTATTCCCCTTATTCCTCTATTCGTCGTCCTTATCGCAAGTGTCTGTAAAGCGCCTAATAGAATTAATCGGGAGCCGTTTATTCGCTCCGTGCATGACACGCAGCGCCGCCCTCGGTGTCAGAATCGTGCAATACCGTACCCCCGTATGATTAAATCGTAACACTGTCGCTTATAGGAGAATGTATTATTTATTGAATAAGACGTACATACTGCTATCGCGTAAACATCAGCACCCTAAAAAATAGATATGATTATCCAAACAGGCTTTAAAAGTATAAGTTGCAACATAGTTTTTAATAATGAAACGCTGAAAAATTAGTAGAGAGTGGCCACGTTGCCTACGTACAAGAATATGTAAATAAAGGAGTCGGTCATCTGATCAATTGCTATGTTGGGAGACAAACTCTGTCAGCTTAAATCCATACAAAGTAGAATTATCTGTAAGTACATTATTGCTAATGCTTGACAAATGTAGGTTATGGTAACATATACATTAATGTGTAATTTATTTATCAGATTAACGAAGACCGCTGTATCTCCGACGTATGGGGTCTACTTGGGAATTTATACAGCACCACCCCCTGCTTTTCTTTCTTGTTGCAATTAACAATAACGCAGCACTGTCTCGTACGCATTTCGTTACTTTGTAAATGTAAACACTGATTCAGATTATACAGCTAGCGGCAGCCTATGTCGACTGCTTGGAGTTCTTGCTCTCACGTATACAACATTACAGATAAGTATGTGTGTTGTGTACCATATGACAGATGATATTTAATAACCCATTATTTAAAATTTCGGGCGATTTGAAGTGCCTAGCAAAATTATTTATCCGTATTATAGACCCGGTTTGGCTAAATAACATTTTTTTTCCGCCTTCGATTTCTCAACTAATTACTTTAAATGAAATAATATATTTTCTCATATAAGCCAACGCTTACTGTTTACTGTACGATTCATGGGGGTACGGGTTCGCCAACTTTGCTCACCTACAACGCTGCAGTCGTTTTTTTTATCCCCTCCAATCTGATGCACGGAGCGAATAGGCTTTGTTGCCTGATGGAAAAAGAGGTATAGGTCTGTTCAGTCTGTTCACTCACTTTGAGTTTAGCGGAACAGTGTAACCCCCTTTTCAATATGAACGTTCATGAACGTTGCATTGTGCACAATGAAATAAGGAGCTATTCACATAGACATTTTTTGCTTACTTCATTGTGAACGTTCATATTGAAAAAGAGGTTCCACCGTTCTGCTAAACTCAAATTGAGTGAACAGACTGAACAGACCTATACTGTGTTCTCTGTCAGTCAACATAGTTGCGACCATAATAGGCTTTAGATTTGTTCACCTTACAATCCAGGGACGGTCGGCGACAGTCTGGGCGAGTCGGAGACGAAAGTGAACAAGTGCTCTTCTCCGATCGTCCCCGATCGTCCCTGACCGTACACGATGCGCAGTTGTACACGTTAGGTGAGGTTAATGCAAAAAGTAAACAAACTTTTTTGTATTTGCACTTCTTTATTTAAAAACTATTGTTTACATACAGCATTAACCTAACCTAACATGTACAACTGCGCATCGTGTACGGTCAGGGACAATCGGGGACGATCGGAGAAGAGCACTTGTTCACTTTCGTCTCCGACTCGCTCAGACTGTCGCCGACCGTCCCTGGATTGTAAGGTAAACAAATCTAAAGCCTATTATGGTCGCAACTATGTTGACTGACAGAGAACACAGTATAGGTCTGTTCAGTCTGTTCACTCAATTTGAGTTTAGCAGAACGGTGGAACCTCTTTTTCAATATGAACGTTCACAATGAAATAAGCAAAAAATGTTTATGTGAATAGCTCCTAAGCAAAAAATGTCTATGTGAATAGCTCCAACATAAGCCTGCGAAGCGAATAAAAGTTATATGGTACGGCCCCTGTGGAAGCAGGGGCGAAGGGCAGCACCGAAATTTTAGAGAGGAGAAAAAGGAAAGGAATGGAATAAGAAGAACCACTAAGATTGGGAATTGGCGGAACTTAGCGGACAGCTGAGATGGCCATTAATTAAAAAAAAAAAAAATTGTATGATCTGCCAGACCAGAGAATCTCATCCAGCATGATCAGCAAATCGTGTGCTATTGTTGTTAATAACTACCACACTGACATTGTAGTTAACGATTACAGGTAAATTTTTTAACTGGTCGAATGGAGTAAACGTACGACCAAGGACATTTAAGTAGATTTATTATAGGAGCGCGCGGTGGCTCAGTCGGCTATAAGGTCGTGGATTGGCACGCGGGAGACCGTGATTTGATTCCCGGCCAGTGCGACTTTTCGGGCAAGTACCTCTGTGATTTTTCACATGTGCTTTTTCCCCACGCAATGCTCCTCGAGGAGGGCTTAGGCGACCTTCTCGCAGCAAAGTTGCCTAATTTCCCCCTACCCCCCTCCTGTAATGGGAGGCCTCCCATCCCTTTCCTTGTCCCTTTCCCAAGTGCTAAGTGCCCATAGTAGTGCTCCTTATTAAAGGAGCCGGACGTAGAGCACTATAATGAAAAAAAAAAAAAGTATATTCATACGATGTTTTACTGTTGGTTTGCAATCGCCGCAAAGAACTAACCTATACACTTAGTGATAGATTTTTTTCATTTTAGCAACCGTGTCTTTATAATAATTAGTCAATACAAAAAACTTGGGTCTTTGGTAACTGTCAGCAAGGAAACAGTTGCTCGCGACTTTGGTAATGATGTCTTCAACACCAAGTAAATAAATAAATCATTGTTGTATTGGGTGGTGCATTGATTTTGTAATTTGCGATAGTAATATGCTTGCGATTGTTTGTTTCAGAGTGATTTTTGGTAAAGATGAGCCTGAAATTCATGCAGCAGCTAGGTTTGTTGCAGAACAGCTGAAGTGCGATAAACCACTGCTAATTTCTGTATGTCTAAAAGATTTTGAACCATCCTGTTTGAGAACTGTAATCAAGGCAATTAAGAAAGTTGCACCGGAAATTGTTCTGAAACAATGAGTGTAATTTTTGGACAACTGGTTATTGGGCCACCTGGTAGTGGCAAAACAACGTACTGCAATGTGATGGGAAAGTTTCTTGAGAGCTTGGGCAGAAAAGTTGCCATTGTGAATATTGGTAGGAGTATTTTTTTTCCTTAATTATCAACTTTCAAGAGCTTTTTAACGTCAACACTTTTTTTTTCTTTCGTAAGACCCAGCCAATGAGAACATGGCTTACAAACCAACAGTAGATATTTCCAATTTAGTGAAACACGAAGAAGTTATGAAAAATTACAAACTTGGACCAAATGGAGCGTTGGTTTATTGCATAGAATTCTTAGAAAAAAATATTGATTGGCTCTCAAAACAAATTCTCAGCTTGAAAGATCATTACTTGTTGATTGATTGCCCTGGTCAGGTAAGTTGTGCATGAATTGTTGTTACTCACGTGCTGAAAAAATATATACAACAAGAAAATTTTATTCAGGTGGAGCTTTACACTCATCATGAGTCGATAAATAAAATTGCTGAGAAATTAGGAGAAAATTTAGTTAGACTTTGTTGTGTTAATTTAATGGACTCCCATCATTGTAGTGATCCAGGTATTTTCTCTTTTCCTTTGGTTTATCACATGTCTACTTGATAAAGCGATTTTTTTACTTCAATATATTGCAGGAAAATATCTTTCTTCTCTAATGCTGTGTACGCTAACCATGTTACAACTGGGCTTACCTCACGTTAATGTGATGACAAAATTGGATGAAATGAAACGTTTCAGTGATAAACTAGATTTCAATATTAACTTTTATACAGATGTGTTGGACTTGAATTACCTCCTCGAAAGGTTAAATGAAGATAATATTGTACCACAGTAAGAATTCTTTTATTTTAACTATTCTGGGAAAAAAAATTTATTTTACTGAGGAAGTCTAATTTTCCAGGTATAAAAAACTAAATGAAGCCATGGTTTCCCTTATAGAAGATTATAGTCTTGTGAGTTTCATACCACTTGATATTTCTAACAAAGCACTGTTGCTTAACGTTAAAAATGCAATTGACAAAGCTAATGGCTATATTTTTGGTGGCAATGAACCAAAAGATGTACAGACTCTCCTAGCTTGTGCAGTTGGAGCTGTTAGTGAAACACAGAGAACAGCAAGTCTCGATTCATACATGTGATACAAATATTTCATAATAAAAATAAATTTTTTAAAATATAATTCTTATATTTTTCGATACAACTGCAAACATATTTCTTAATCCAAATGATTAACAAAAATTTGAGCCAAGTCATCATAATCATAGACTCTTTTGAGAAATGTGTCAGTTAATTTGAGACTTGAAACAGCCTAAACAAATATAATTGGATTAAAATGTGATTAAAAAATATTGCATGTTAGTCAAATCGGTATGAATTACTCACTATGAGACCTGATTCTAATGGAATCATGCAAAGTGGAATGTATGTAGATTCTCCTGGTTTGAGAGTTCCAATCATTTTATCCGAGATTCCACTCCATGCTATCGATGCATTTGATTGTAAACCTAGCAGTAAATCCATTTGCCGTTCGCTAAAAAAAATTTGTCAGTTTTGTAACAATAAAATTGATATTTTAAAAATTTTTATACTCAATATAAATACTCACGAGGTATTTATTATGTGAATTTTAAAATCTATTGGTTTTTCAAGATATACTTTGTCAGGTATATTCTTTATACTAACTCGAAGATCCCCATAATCTGGTGCCTAGTATCATGAAATATAATAATCAATAAAGGAAATATTTTTCGGGTAAAATAACTTGAGAAACTACCATTCTTTGTAATTGACTAGTTTGAAGACGGCCTCTTTCTCCCAAGTTACTTCTCCACACAATATCTAGTTTACCGATATTTGTGGCATTGTGCATCATTTTTGGATCTCTTGCTAAACTTAGTTGAGGCCTTAAACAATATAAATATTGACGACTGTGTCCAGAATCTAGCAGATTTACTTTTCCGTATATCGACTCGTTATCATCATTAGTGTCAAGAATAGAAACTAAAAAAAAAAAGGTTTAAATAATATTTTGTTATATTGAACTTATAAAAATTGGAGGTATTTAAGTGCCTGTAAATAAATGTGAAGATTCTAATGCTACTTTTTCTAAGCAAATGGGTCCAGCAGTTAAATTTTGAATTTGTGCTTCAACATACACCTCATCATTTTCTGCATTGTAAAACTTTGTTTTTACATCTAATGGTTTTACTACTTGAAATTTGAAGAATTTTCTGAAAGACATAGGCTGTGCACCAAAAGTTAATGGTGTGTATGTAACTTCACACACCAATCTGCAACAATTGAGTTTTTGTAATCAGTATCAAATAAATAAAATAGCATCAATTATTGTAAGTAAACCTACATATGAGTTCCAGTTTCTTTGACTTCATGGTGAATAACTTCGTCGATTGTGCCATTTGATGCTAATTCTTTAGCTTGGGAATTTTGACCGGATAATGGAATGGTTTGAGTGTTTGTTTGTAAATCAGCCTAAAATACAGTTCATTCGTAATAGTGAAATATCTTGCATATAATAAGAATCTACTGATTATCTCCTATACCTTGACAAGCACGTCCTTCACCCCTTGATTACTTCCATTGTGAACGCACAAATAACTTGAAAAAATTTCTCCCAGATAGATATTACTAAAAAATTTTAAGTGTTAAGATACTTTTTTGAAAACTGTGCATGCTTAACATTGTAATTAAAATAAGTACCCAAAGCTCTGTGGCAGGACCATAAATTGACCGATTGCCACAGTTTCCATCCCTTGTAGAGCAGTGCAATCATTTTTCAAGTCAACGTTGAGAGTATTGCCAGGCAAATCAGTGGAATCACATGTAACAACTACTGGGCTTGCAAGCGTTGGTCTTGTAAGCCTCATTACTGTAATCATAACACACATAAATTAACAATTACTTATGGATACCAGTATTCATTCATTTTTGCACGCAAATGAACAAGTCTTAATTATAGTTCTTGTTATCTTTGCTATACCTTTCAATGCTAATAAATGTTCACTTTTTGGTTTAGGCTCCATTTTGTACGTTTCAATTGAAAATTTCACTTATATTAGGCGTCGCCGCAATCACACGTCCAGAGAAAATAATGCAGATTCCGTAGATAAAGGATTACGTTAAAGAAAGTTCCCCTACCCTTTCCCAGTTCGATTCTCGTAACTTATATCTTATTAATGTCAAAGAAATTATAAGTATAATATATAAACGTGTTTTGCATACGGAGTGTGTAACTGTAGCCAGTAGATTTAGGACTGAGCTCAAAGTGGGTAAAAAAATACCTGCCGCATCTCTCAAAAAAATCGAAAAACGTCATGATTCGTTGAGATTCAAAGTAATTTTAGGATCTCTTTTTTTGATCACGAGTTATAGTGGTCCGGGTGAGCCGCCAGCCGCCACACATGTGAAATAGCTCGCGTACGTGGGGATAAGATCGATCTGAAAACCTTTTTAAATAATATCAAAGGAGTTTTTCTGCTCAATTGGATTATCGATTTGGAAAGTGCTATAGATTAAGAAACAGCTGTTACATACATAATATAAGTGCAATGAGGAAATAAAATTTTTATTTAGTGCGTCACAATCTCGATTCTATTAACGGTTATTAGAGTCGACAACGCTTTTATTTGTGCTCAGAGAAAACGCTATTTATGACGTTAGTGTTGAAGACGCCTTTTTCAGAAGGACCCAAAAAATCATGGCTATTTTGGGTGCTAACAATATATTAAAAAAATATTTTTTTTTTATATTATAGTGCTTTACGTTCGGCTCCTTTAATAAGGAGCACTACTATGGGCACTTAGCACTTGGGAAAGGGACAAGGAAAGGGATGGGAGGCCTCCCATTACAGGAGGGGGGTAGGGGGAAATTAGGCAATTTTGCTGCGAGAAGGTCGCCTAAGCCCTCCTCGAGGAGCATTGCGTGGTGAAAAAGCACATGTGAAAATACACAGAGGTACTTGCCCGAAAATGTCGCACTGGCCGGGAATCGAACCACGGTCTCCCGCGTGCCAATCCACGACCTGATAGCTGACTGAGCCATCGCACGCTTATTAGAGAAATATAATTTAGAACCTCCTATTAAGTCTTTGTCCATTTCAGCTTTTTAAAATATTCCATTTTTTGTAGAATCACCCATATATTTAAACAGACATAAAGGTGCTTTTTCAACACAAAATCTAATGGAGAATGGAGCTTTTTTTAGACGTCAAAAAAAAACTCCCTACTTGTGACATGAAAGTCAAGCTTTAATCAGCTGCATGCCCCCCCCTCCCCACCACTACACTTATACCCTATACACGACGACGACCAGACGAAATTCACGAAATGTAATATATATTGTACACAACAACATAGTAATACGAGTACATAACTACACAGTGCTTGGGTTGTCCACTTGAGATTGAGAGTTAGAATCGTTGAAGAATAAGTAGTTCATTTTTTATGTCGTAGAAAGCGAAAAAAAAAATCGAGTTGAACAGTCCTCGAGACTCGAGAATACGATGGCGTCGGCGCCCAAGTCTGGGCCCCAAGACATGCCACCGCCTGGGGGCTACAATCCCATGACATGGCAACGCATCAAGCTCAAAACCTTTTTTACGAGTAAGTCTAGCCTTCCCTTTGTACCTCCTTTTTCAAAACTGTCATCTCGTTTATTTGGGGTAATGCTGACTTGTTAAACTTACCCTACTTCCAGGCAAACTTGTCATAGGATTGTACGTTGCTGCCACGGCTGTCGGTTTCAAACTTTATACCATAAACTACCGTGAATATCACAGAGAACAGATTGAAATGAGAAGCGCACGGCACGTTATAATGCCGTTGCTATTAGCAGAGCGTGATCGAGCGTGAGTCCATTACAACAATATATGTGATTTCCATAATTCGTTGATATTGTTTTCTTATTTATGAATACGTACATTATGTAACAGGTTCTTGAAACAATGCCGTGTAAACCGCGACGAGGAACGAGAACTGATGAAGAACGTGCCAGAATGGGAAGTTGGCACCTACTTCAGGGAACCAGTTTACATCACTATGCCAGATAAGTTCCATGAGCCAACTTACCACGAGTTCTTTGGACACTCCAGCTTTTTTGATGCTTCCTACCGTGTCGCCCGTCGTCACCTTTCGTAAATATGTAGAAAGCTTCATCACTGGTAGATGTTTAATAAGAAAGAAAAGTTTAATGTGTTAATAAATCTTGTGTTATATAAAAAAATTGTTTAATCCATTACTTTTTATTTGTGAGAGTTAGATTTTAATACATATATTTATAGGCTTATAAACATATTAAGATAGTTCAGTTGAAAACTTGATTTTTTTTTTTTTACACTTCTCTCACGCTTTTTTCTTCGTGGTAAATATGTTATAACAAACAATTCAGCACGTAAATAACAATTTTTTTTTACGTTAATATTAATAATTTTAACATAGTGCTATGTAATAACTTCTGTACTTTTCTTTTGGGCTTCCATAGCTGCCTGGCCAGCACTAAGTTCCTCCATCCGTTTTTGAACTATTACAGCTTGAACTTCCATAAAAGTTTTCATCACTCGATGATTCATTAAAACGAACTTATTGGTACATAGTTCGACACACTTTTCCTAAATCATAACATATGATTACATATTTACTTAAATATTATGCTAAATGCTAATATTTTAGATGCAAGTTGACAAGTACCTCATCTGGTTCACATTCTCTTGTGTAAAAAGAGTTGGCACATCTATTAAAACACGAATCTGAAATTTGATTGTACAACAGAAGAAAATCTTTGAACTATAATAAAGAAAATACATTATTTTTATTAGTCAACATCTGTTTTTTTCCGATATTTGTGAACATATGAATGAAAAATTAAAAAATTTTTGTTACATTTCTTATTTGTTCCACCATATTCAGCAACACTGTCCGAATGATAAGTAAATTAATTGCAGAAAAACACTTGGAAAAACTAAACCATCTTATTCATTTATAATAAAACACATTTGGATAAGTAGGTAGGTTGAAATAAATATGTTCATGAAAGTACATAACTATTCGATGATTTTTTAAGTTTGAATGTGAAACTAATCATTATCATGTAAAAATAGTTTATACACAGTAAACAACTAGATTTTTTAATACAAAAATTATAAAAATACAGTATACCACAGGAGACAATATTGTAAATACGATGATAGTAATAGCAGAAAACTACATAACCAATCCTGAGTATCCTGACAAGAAATAACCGCTAGACGGCCACTAACGGTTTAATACCAGGCCCTGTCCAGGCCGCCTGGCCAGTATTGTAATAGGTTCGCTTGGGGCTTAGCTTGGAGCAGCTCGGGGGTGCGTTCCGTAAGCTCCAGCAGTTAATCTTTAAGTACCTCGGAATCCTAGATGACATTTAAATGTGAGGGAAAAAGTATGACATGTTATCTCTCTCACACTAATAAGTTATCTCTATATTATCTAAATACTTAGATTAAAGGGCCAGTTCTTACGGAAAGCATCACGGAGCTCCTCCGAACTTCGCCCCAAAACACGCGTTTTGCTACTTTTGCTCGGAGTTCATCGGAGCGAATCCGAGCAAATTTCTACATTCAGTATATCTATATTTATGGCCAAGACGAATAAATAATGGGTATGTTTTTTTTTTTGTAATCGGTCGGTCCAGTTCCTCTAGAATGTATATCTGTATACATGGTAAGTATAGGTATATACTTTCTTGAGGAATTGGACCGACCGACTACAAAAAATACGTATCCATGGATATACCAACTGTAGAAATTTGCTCGGAGTCGCTCACTCGCTCCGATGAGCTCGGAGCAAAACGCAAAACGCGTGTTTTGGGGCGAACTTTGGAGGAGCTCCGAGCTGCTCCAAGCTAAGCTAAGCCCCAAACGAACCTAATGACTTCATGGGGCATGGCCAGGCCACAGTTTACAAATATATAGATACAGGTGATCTGCCCATCCCAAGTAGAAATTGAAAGTGGGCGAAAACTGGGCCCAAGCTTGGCTGCAGATTGGCACCTGACTTGGCCTCTAGTGGGTTTGTAAGGCTGCAGTCACAGTGTCACACACCTCTCTCTCACTCTCATGGGCTCAAATGGTTACGCGGTACGCGTTACGCTCTCCATGTGACCAGGGCCTTACGTACTTACCCGATTAAAACTAGTCTCCCGGCACGTATCAGGCCCATGTACGGTGCCTTAAGCTGAATGTACGGACCCCCTACGGCACACAGTGAGATAAACTTTTATTTTTTGTTTCAAAACTACGTAAACTTCCTTAGAAGAAATATTTTTTCATGAAAGTTTTTGGATCTTATAGGTATGATGACAAGGAATAACAGAAAATTAAGGAGAAATGTAAAAAAGGAAATCCTAACCTACAAATTTTGGATTATTTCAGAAATTTTTCAATTTAATTTTTTTTTTTTTCTGTTGGAAAATAAGTTTTAAAGAGCTGGTATCAAACCTTCATATTTATCTTACATATATTCTTCATTTTTTAAAATAAGGTATCAAAATTTCGTCTAAAAAGTGACTTTTTTTGTCAAAATTAAGCATAATTCCAAAAAAAAAAATTATTTTCTTCAGAAAGTTTTCAGAAGTGTAAGTGTTGTGGCTGGGAGTGATAAATAACTACTCAATGATATAAAAAAAAAAATTAACCTACATACTCATGAGGTATTTGGAAATTTTTTTTGTGTTTTGAAAATTCTTTCTTGTTCTCTTTATTCATTCTCCTAATATTAGATTTCTCAGGAATGTAAAGTAGCTTGATCAAATTGATGCCATTGATAATTATAATCATATAATAATAGAGAAACGATGAATTTCGATGATGTCATGCATGCTTTTAAATTATTACGTGCTTGTTTCACTCTTAATCGGATTCCGTTTCCGTGTCACTTATATCATCGTCGTTCTTTCTGTAAATGTTTATAATTTCATGATTTACATTGGTTAATAATTATCATGAACAATACTTTTACATGAAAATACTTTTCATGACTATTTTCGTTTATTTCTAACATAATTTCATTCTCCAATAACCTTGCAAAAATTAATTATATTATTTATTTTGATTACATTCGCATAATAATCAGCCTACCTCACTATTACGGGTATTAAAATTCATTAAACAGAGTAATACTAAATTCTTAAATATTGCTTTAATACCATAGTAAAGAGACAAAACAGTCCATTTTTTACTTTACATTAGGTATTCAAAATAATAGCCATATAAGATGTACTAAGTGGCAACATTTTATTGAAAAGTATTCATCGCTTTTGTAATTAAAGTGATCAAGAAAGTATCATATAATTTACTACTCTATAATTCAAGACGTAATTTTAATCAAATGTAAGATATCATCAAAGTTTGAATTGCAACTGTATTCTCGGTTTGAAACAAGATAAAATTGTTTAGTTTAAATTCAATAATTAGTACAATTGAATCTAACTTTTGATTAAAAAACAAAATAATTGTTTTGCTTAGTGAATTTAAACAAGTTTAAGATACTGCACATAGAATGACAAATTCTTTATGTAATCTTTTTTTTTTCCCAGCGTATAATACAACTGTAATTAGAGTTTCCGATGTAATTACTACATTTACATGGAGAAATATGATATTATGATTTTTAACAATGGTAATATATAATGTTATGCCTATATTGATTTTTGAAATCTATTATTACTTGTTGACTGTCTCTAATTTTATTCAATATTACACTGAAATTCACAAGTTTAAAAAGAACTTTGTAGAGACTATGTAAGTGCTTTTACTTACTGTGATCGCGTGAATCCACTTAAGTCTTGAACGTTTTTATGATTCGCCTTTAGCCATTGTCTTTGTTCAATGTACTCTAATGAAATTATAGGGTCTGTCATGTAAGCTGCCCTATTAAAAACGTCCAGAATTCTAAGCTTCCTGCTTATTTATCGTGCGTGTGCAGTCCAATTTCTGCGATAATACTTGTGCCAGCTTTCACTATACAATCTTCGGAAAAATTTGCTAAAGGTAAAGGGAACTTTTTCGCGATCTCACAACTATGAGCAAGCAATTTGTGTAATGTGGGGCTCATTTTCGCCCAGGGATAACATTCGTAATATTTTTTATAAGTTTCAATACACAGTGTACTCATTTTGCTCAGAACTAGTGCGTGCTTGCTTTTAAATAATGATATTACGAGGGAAATTTTGTTCACCAGCGTTTCATCTAGTTCAAGAACTTCAGCAAATTTTTCTGGTTCCGCGAAGCATTTTCGAGCAACGTTACCGTTTGTATAAGTGGTACCATGCCCTTGAAGGACTTGGTCAACTCGAACCTTGAACTTTTCGTAAATTCTATTTCGTACAATTTGAGTTCGCTCATTTGCCTTTTCTGAAATAATATGGATATTACTATGCAAACTTATATAGTAAGGTTACTGATTTGACACTTCATTTTTCTTAACAATTAAAAATATGAACTTTTTTGCAAGACGTAATAGCTATATTTGACAAAAGCCATCTTCGTTCATGATCAATAATATTTATATTTAAGAATACTTTGAATATACAATTCTATTTCTGAAGAAACATTGTAAATTTGAGTTTTCTAACACAGTGATTCATTAAAATATCCAATAGCAATCAATTTCGGACTTCATGGGGAAAACCCAATCGTATGTGCATGCTAACTCAATTACTCAAAATGATGGTATGTGTGTTTTTACAGGAATATCTATGAGTAAATAATAGTTATTTACACTTAAATGATTGGTTAAACTTGGAAGGTACGACCTTAAGGACACATCAAATGCAACTAAGTGACAAACTCGTCCAATTGTTTGGATTTTTATTTAAAATTAAAAATTGTATTGCGTCACTTAAAAAAAGTAATAAACCCAGCTGTGTAAGGTCTAAAAAAAGTAAAAATTTTTTTTTTGAAATTTCCAGTGCGATAACGTGGCTTAATTATTTTACAATTAAGTCTTGCAATTTTCATTAGAAAGTAATATCTCGTATCCTTTATTGAGTTACACACGAAAGATACACATTAACTACAGTCACTGCATGTGCTACGGACTAGCGAAAAGAAGAGTTTTTCAATTTATATTTCACCTTTAATATTAGCATTAATCGTCCATGTTTGCAAATTAAAGGAAGTCTGTATGATATGTGGGTAAGATTTTCGAAAGCTTTTATTTCATCATGTAGAAGACCAAGGCCAAGCTCCATAAATGATTCATCAATGGGATGAAAATTGGTTGATACATCTTTATCGAATTGAGAATTAGTGCAAAAGCAAATGTTGCATCTACATGTAGCTTTGTTTCCTACGATTGCGTTTACACATTTTTCGTCTAGTAATGTAACAAAAACTTTAAATGACACTTCTGCTTCTTGTCCATTATCTAACTGAAAAGCATATGATGTAAGTGTGGATATTTCACGGTTTAAACGATTATACTCTGTAAGTATAGACTCCAGCGTTTCTTTCTCTAATGCAATTCGTACTGGTCTACAGAATCTATAACTCTGTGGGCTCGGATTCTTCCATGTGCAATTAGCTGTAACAAAATAATTTAGTATTTATATTACCAAAATAATCTCTACGATGATTCCTAAATTTTGTGCTGAGACAGCGGTTTTTATTAACCAAGCATCATAATGTATTAAGGACGCCCGATGATTAGACGTTGCCCTCATTTAGAATAGTATAAAACATATATTCGAAGAGATCAAATGACAAAGTGATAAGGCAGATATTAAGATACGAGTATAGTTTTGAAGATCCAAGAAATTTTTCTCTCCTAAAATTTTTTGCATTGTTCACGCAGATATTATCGATTATATAAAATTTACTACTTGTGTAGAAATATTTATATTCCCAACTAAAATTACTCTAAATAAGGCCTTCTTTAAATCATGAAATTTTTTATGACACATTTTTCACTGTGCAAACGATACAAACGATAAACAGTCAATTCGCTTACCATTAGATCTACTTTGTAGTTGAACAATGAGCATACTAGAAACTGGCAGAGATCTTAATTAATAAC